GCATTCCTGGGTGCAACAGCTGCATCCCTGGCCTCAGTGCCTGCATCCCACCCCATCACCTCCAGCTGCTCTGCTGGGAGCAGGAGCAGATGTGCAGCCCCAGGAGACCCAGATGCCTCTCCCACCACTTGGGAGGACCATTGCTCCTCCAGCTGCCTCCTGCTGGGTCAGGCACTGTCTCCTGCTCCACATGTGCTCAGACCACAAGGTCAGGTTGTTCGGGGCTCTGAGCAACTTGATTTGTTTGGAGATGTCCCTGCTCACTGCGAGGAGGTTGGGACTAGATGAGCTTTTAAGGTCCCATCCCAAAGCTTTTGATGATTCTGTGAACTGATTATTCCAGCTCTCCTGGAGCTCCTGTGAGTTAACACCCTGCAGGCAACTGGTGTGCCCTGGGTTAGAACATTTCCCTTCAGCATTGCTTGACCTTGAACTCCTTGAGATGGAGCTGAGATGGGAGGGAGAAATTCTGGGCTGTGAGGGTGGGGAGAGCCTGGCCCAGGTTGCCCAGGGAAGCTGTGGCTGCCCCATCCCTGGGGGTGTTGAAGGGCAGGTTGGATGGGGCTTGGAGCAGCCTGGGCTGCTGGGAGGTGTCCCTGCCCATGGCAAAGGTGGGACTGGAGGATTTTAAGGTCCCTTCCCACCCAAACCAGTCTATGAGTCTATTATTCTATGATCTGGTTCCAAATGTGCAGAGGGTGGAAAGCACAGGGGTCTGTGCCCAGAGCAGCAGCAGCCAGGGGTGACCCCTGGGCTGGGCTGGGGGGTCTGGTGTGGCCACAGGGGGTGGGAAAAGCCTGGCTGGGGGGTTGGGCTGGATGATCTTTAAGGTCCCTTCCCACCCAAACCATTGCATGATTCTATATAAGTCAGAGGTAGGGACCGGTGAAGGCAAATGCTCTGTCCTTCCTGCACATGAAACCAACAATCTTGGCATATTTTTCGCCACCCTGGTTGTGTCTGTTACATTCTGCCTTTACTGACCTAGGAACAAGGATGATTTAGACAAAACCAACCCAAACCAGAACCAAAAAGGGTGGTTTTCCTTCATGAAGGGTCACAAAGGACCTACTCTCACTGCCCATTTCCTTACAAGGGTTTGTTTCACTTTATCCTGAAAAGATGTAAAACCTTCAATCCAAGGACATTGCCTGAAGCCTCAGAGAAGCACCAGAGGATTTCTCTTTGTATTTTGTGGTGTGTTTGCTTGGTTTTTTGCCTTGACTGTCCCCATGGATCCTCCACTTCAGACAAACCCCAACCCACACGACCCCCTGGGCTCGTGTCACCCCCGTGTTGTGAGCAGCCCCCTCCCCAGCCCCTCCTGGGCTGGTCCCCAACCCCTTCCCACAGACAGGCTGACACCTCCTCACGGCTGGAGCAGATGGGTCTTTATTTGGCAACCAGAGACCAACAGAACCAGCGGGTGCTTCCCCGTGAGCAGGGGCAGCCCGGGCAGGGGGGGATGCTCAGTGGTACTCGTGGGCCAGAGCATGGGCCACCACACGGACCATCTTCTGCCAGGCTGCTTGGCAGGCAGGGGTGAAGTCCTTGCCAAAGTGGGCGGCCAGGACGATGATGAGGGTGTCACCCAGGAGCTGGCAAAGGGGAGAAGGAGGAGCCATCAGCCCGGTGCTGCCCCCCCTCCCTCCCCAGCCTCCCACCCTGGGCACCAGGGAATTCACTGCAAAGCAAGGGAGGGGTTTACCCCAGTGCAGAGCAGCAGGCTGCTGGCACAGCTGGCACTCCCAGGGTGCTGGGACATGCCAGGTTCTCTCCCCAAACATCTCCCTTCTCCTCCTGCTCAGTGTCCTCCCTCTGCCTGGACTGGGTCTTTCCCCTCCTCAGATCCCAGCCCGCCCTCTTGGCTCACATCCCCCCCTCTGCCCAAGTTTAGTTTCTCTCCTGGCTTAGCCCTTCCATCGTACCCAAGATCAGCTTTTCCCTCCAAACCCTGCCCTGATTTCTTCCTCTCTGGCTGCTCCAAGCCAACCTTGTTTCCCACCAGCACCTCTTGGACTCTGCGTTTCATCCCCATCCACCTCCTCCCTCCCCTCACAGATCCCAGCCCCATAACTTCTCTCTGTTCTCCCCAGATATTCACTCTTCCTTCCCCTGCACCCCCCCTGCCCTCAGCAGCCTCAGGGTTTCTCTCCAGGTCTCCCTGCCAGACCCCTCAGACCCCCCTGCAGCCCCTGCCCAGAGGGGTTCCAAGCACAGCTCACCCTGAAGTTCTCGGGGTCCACGTGCAGTTTGTCACAGTGGAGTTTGCTCAGCTGAGCAAAAGATTTCTTGATGCTGTCCAGGTTCTTCACGGCCTCCCCAAAGGAGGTGAGCACCTTCTTGCCATGGGCACGGACCATGGGGTTGCCGGAGACGGCGGTGGCGCTGGAGAGGTTCCCGAAGGAAGAGAAGAACCTCTGGGTCCAGGGGTAGACAATCAGCAGCCTGGGGAAGAGAAGAGGGACACGAGCGGACACGTTGGCGCTCCCGTCGTCGCAGGGGTTTGTCCACCCGGGGCTGAGGAGCTTCCCAGCAGCTGGACCTACCTGGCCAGGGCCTCGGCGCCGCAGTCGGCCACGTTGACCTTGCCCCAGAGGCCGGTGATGAGCTGCTTCTCCTCGGCTGTCCAGTGCACCATGGTGGCAGGAGGGCTTCCCTGGGGCTTCCCTGGAGAAGGACAAGAAAGTGGGACCCGACGCTGCCCCAGGGATTTTTATACACGAGCGAGGGGCTTGTCCTAATCTCAGCTCACGTAGCTGCTGGTTGGGGCTGGGGAGGGAGCTGGGCTGCTGGAGGAAAGATAGCAATTTTGGATGGTGTCCAAGGGGGGAAAGAGGCCCTTTGCCCCCTCTGCCTTGGAGGGGACAACCAGCATCTCCAGCCCCTGCACTTGGACCTGAACCCCCAAGTGCCGGGGGACCCGCAGGACCCTGCCCAGCTGGGGGGTCCAGCTCTGCAGGGGCAGCCTGGGCTGGGGCTGAGCAGGACAATCAGACCCAAGAACGTGGGCAGGGAGATTCAAACAGCTTGTGCTCTCTGCCTTGACCATGTTACCAGACTCTTAATGGTGCGTTAGTGCCCCAGAAATTCATCCTGAACAGCTCTAGGCACAGAACCTCAAACTGGTTTGGGTGGGAAGGGGCCTCAAAGCCCACCCAGTCCCACCCCTGCATGGGCAGGGACACCTCCCAGCAGCCCAGGCTGCTCCAAGCCCCATCCAACCTGCCCTTCAACACCCCCAGGGATGGGGCAGCCACAGCTTCCCTGGGCAACCTGGGCCAGGCTCTCCCCACCCTCACAGCCCAGAATTTCTCCCTCCCACCTCAGCTCCAGCTCCCTCTGCCAGCTGGAAACCCTTCCCCCTGCTCCCATCCCTCCCTGCCCTTGTCCCAAGCCCCTCCCCAGCTTTCCTGGAGCCCCTGCAGGCACTGGAAGCTGCTCTCAGCTCTCCCTGGAGCCTTCTCTTCTCCAGGCTGAACACCCTAAGTCTCCCAGCCTGGCTCCAGAGCAGAGCTGCTCCAGCCCTCCCAGCATCCACCCCAGCCCTAAGGACCAGGGGGTTACTGGTACAAGTACTGAATCATCACTCCCAAGTCTAAGCTCCACACGTTAAAGGCAAGAGTTTCCTTTCATGTGTGTCCTATGAAAGAGGCTCTCAATGGTGTCCATCATCATTGTCCATCACTGTTGCCCATCCTGTGGACCTGAGCTCTCCTGTTTCCCATGTCCAGTGCAATTCCCTGTCACCAGAGAAAGCAGATCCACCTTGAAGCCAAAACGATGAGTTACAGTCTCAAGGGCAACATCAGACACATCACTCAGGACAGTCAGTCCCACCTAGAATCACTGCATTATGGAGCTGTTTGGGTTGGAAAAGACCTTGAAGATCCTCCAGTCCCACCATTCCCCCAGCCTTGCCCAGGCCACCCCTGCCCCGTGTCCCTCAGCACCATCTCCAGGGCTTGGAAACCCCTCCAGGGATGGGGACTCCCCCCCTGCCCTGGGCAGCCTGGGCCAGGCCCTGACAACCCTTGCCAGGGAGAAATTGTTCCCCAGATCCAACCTCAACCTCCCCTGGCACAACCTGATGACGTTCCCTCTTGTCCTGTCCCTTGTTCCTGGGGAGCAGAGCCCGACCCCCCTGGCTCCA